GGGGGGGGGGGGGGGGGGGTGAGGGAAGAGGGAGGCAGATTGGGACTCTTCTTCGAGCCATTTGTGCGTGTGCTGCGAAACTTTCGGAGAATGCAAGAGCCGAGTGTAGACACCACAACTTGGCCTTAAAGCATAGCAGAAACATTGCTAATTAATCATCACTGTACTAAGAATAGCAACACGATCCTATTGTGGGATCCCTGTTTCGAGGAGGCCATGCAGGCCATCAACGCGACCTGCACGGAGATGGGGAAGAGCTACAGCTGTAAGGCCGAGCCTGCAGTCTCTCTTACTCTGCCGGAGGGAGAAGGCGAGACGCAAGGAGGGCAAAAGAGAACTGGAAAGACAAAGGGAACGTGAGAGAGAGAGAGAGAGAAAACTAGGAGAGGGTGCCACACTAGGAAGCAGGATCGTTTCAAAGCAGGTGGTGTGAGCCAGAACGGGATAAGACGCACAGTGTTCGGACAGACTGCAAAACAACATCCATGTCCGCCAGAGGGGAAATGAGATTACTTTCGCCGCAGCTGTTAGCTGGAGCCGACCTGCCCGACCGAAGGGATCCATCAAAGAGATCTTTGATGGAGTCGTCCTTGCCGGAGCGCTCCCGCCTCAAGCTGAAGCCGCCGTCACAGGAGACCTTGGCTAGGAGGCAGCGTGAGCTCGAAGAGTCTGACAGGATGCGCTTACTTCCCGCCCAGCTGTGGCAGAGCTGGTCTGTGACGAACTCGGGTACTTACGGCGTGATTTTCACAGATGGCAGTCATGCCTTGAAGGTGTCTATTCGGGGCGTGGATCCCTCGATGGAGCAGTCATGCGAGAGGCAGGTCACTGAGGCGGTGGTGTACAGCTTGGCTTCCGAATTGGGCACACAGGTCCCTCGAAAGGCGCAGCTGCTGGAACGCTGGGGAACGGGTTCTCTTCGAGGTACGGACGACTGCTTGCGATCCCACCTTGTCCTGGACTTGCTGCAGCCGGATGTCCAGCTGCCAGGAGAGAATCTAGGTAAGCTACTGGGACGTTTTGATATTGTATCCTTCCGTTATTGTTTCAAGTGGATCCAACATTTATCAATCCTGCTTGTTGCTGTTGGAGGCTTTTTAAAGGGCCAACCTAGGAAACTGCTTCTGTCAGTGCAGCTGGGCCAAACCGACCTGGGAGTTAGCGCTGGCTCTTTCATCGAAGGTCCAGCGGCACTCGTCGGTGGGCAGAACAAGTCGCAAGGTTGGAGGAATATGAATGGTGCTGTTTTTGCAAAGACTGTGGGCCGCGAGGTTGCAGGGGAAGCCTTGCAGGATGCTGGCTTCCTGCACGGATACTTGGAGACCTTCGGTCTCTTCCTGCATGACTCGGAGATGATATGGGGAACGGTCGGCAGCGGGCGCGCCTGCCTTTATGTGTTGGATTTCGACAAAGCCATCCTTGATTGCAATCCCGACGACATCGAGAGGCTGCGGTGCAGCGATCCTGTCTTCCCACGTCCTTCACAAAGAACCATTATGGCAGATTACTGGGGTGCCGTTTTTTGGCGTGGTTGGAGTGCCGGGAAGCGTGCTGCCCAATCCGTCCTAGACAGGAGTCGGATGCCCTTTGGGCCGCAACGAGTCTCCCATCGTTTCAAGCAGCATTTTCTCACATCTCTGCGCCAGAAGTGTACAGTTGGCGCCGGAGCCGACAGCGGCCGTAGGATTAGGGGGTGGCGTTCGATCCCGCACATGGAGTGATCTTGCTCTCTCCAACAGCCCGGCCAAGAAGTCTACGTGCGAATCGGAACTAGCGTCTCCGCAGAGCCTTATGCCATATGCACAGCAGAATCGGCGAACGACGGTGGTTGCGCAGCTCAAGCATGACTCAAGATCTTTGTTGCAGCTTCTCGTGAGAGGAACGTGTTTAAAATCCCTTCCCGTTAATTAAACAGGGGGCGACCCCCCCTCAATAAAAACTCGGAAAGTGTTTTTTTGGTTTAGGGGCATTATCTCTACTGCCACTTTTGAGGGGTCGTGATCTTGCTCCTCCTCCGGCTCTTGCTCCCGCGCTGGCTTCTGCTTCTGCTCTTGCTGTTGCTCCCGCTGTTGCTCCTGCTCTTGCTCTTACTCCCCTCCTGCTTTTGCCTTTGCTCTTGCTGCTGCTTTTGCTTTTGCTCCTGCTCTTACTCTACCTCCGCTTGCGTTTGGTCTTGCTCTTACTGTGCTCTACGGGCATTTGCGGCCTCGAAACCCTCCCCCTAATTCAGAATTTTGAAGGGCAGGGATGGCGTTCGAGAGGATTCGCCCGAAAGTTTTTCTTTTCCTACGGGTGGTTTAATAAAAGGGGAATCCACGACATGGGGTTTGTATGTCCCTATTCGTCGAAAGCACCAACCATACAGACAGTAGTGCAACAACGAACAACACGGTCAATAACAAAGATATTCATCATGAGCTATGTCACGTAACAGCCATGATGTCCCGGATTCCAAAACCCTAAACGCTAAACCCCTAAACCCCTAAACCCTAAACCCTAAACCCCTAAACCCTAAACTCTAAGCCAGAAAGGTCGTGTCCTGGGATGATGTCTGTCGCAGTCATGGGCCAGCAGATGCTCTGAGCAGTGGTGGGCCCAACATCACGGACGCCAGGCGCTTGCAGGGTTTAGGGTTTAGGGTTTAGGTTTAGGGGGTTGCCAAGCCAATACCTGTACCTTAGCCTACCAAAGCCTACTATTTGGTAGAGTCCTGTAAATTACATAGTAGGGTTTTGTTACTAGGAACCTGCAGCAAAGTCGGTTATGGTAGCTGGTAAGAGGTATACAGTTTGTTGGGTTGCTATCTCTCGTGCATAATCGATCTTTGGCCCCAAGCCAACAAGCCTTTGTTTATTTCGCAGAGTCAAAGAGGTATACCTATCGTGTGCAATAAGGGCAACATCCTTCCCGGTCCTGTCGATGTCAAATGATTTCAGCTATAAGGATGACAACCGTGACATATCCGGATTGGGAATTCCGCAGCATCCCGGGCCGCCCGACTTCACATCTGTTCAAAAATGCGATGCCCAGAGCGCAGCGGCAGTGAACAACGATACCGCAACCCCATGTGCAAATTTGGTTCAGTTGTTTATGCATTTCGTGGCGAGAGCAAGTGGTCAGATAATTGCAGCGATACACAGGAAACAACCAAGGCGTACGTGCGAGTTCAACGGTCCCGTGTGCAAAAGGACCATACGTAATGTATGTGAGATGGGTTGCCAACATGGTGTTAGAGCGCGACAGCGCCAAAGCCCAGAAGGCAAAAGGACACATTTAGTTCTTCTTAAGTTTACATCGTGTTGATGTCGAAGCTAAGTGAACAGTCAACATGGCCCTAAACCCTAAAGCCTAAACCCCATGGTCCAAGGCAAGAGTTCAAACGACAGACCAGCCGGGCCATGCCGAGCCTTTCCACCAAGCACATCCTGAACCCAGCAACAAAAACTATGGTTGATAGTATGAATCCTGCATTACCCATAATAAGGAATATACCATAATTCCCATGCTTTAGGGTCCTTAAGGTAATGCAGGATTTATATTATCAACAGTATGTCTCTGGTGAACTCAAAAGAGCCCCAAACCCTCAGCCCCGAATACTTTGTTGAATACCCTACCTTAACCTACCAAAACCTAGTTTTTTGTAGGGTCCCTACAAATTCTAAGTAGGATATATAATAAGAACTTACAGGCAAAAAAGTAGGTGTTGGTAGTTGAAGGTCTACCCTAAACACGATAAGCCCTAAGCCCTACTCAGGGCGTCAAAAATCCTAACGCCCCAGCTGCGACAGGCTCAAGGCCCGCAGTGGGCAAGCTCTGTGCCTTGGACGGCTTGGCGTCTGTCTATGGGACTTCATAGAAGGGCATTAACAATTACCTATACTACTTCGGGGGTTCCTTACTGCAATATACCCCAAAACCCTATTCTAATTATTAAGGCGCCTACAGTGTTGTGCAAAGGTGCACCCAACAGAAGTTACAGTACCTATGCATACATACGCCATGTGCGCCGGACAGCTCTATTTGTATCGGTGTTTATTACCAGGATAAACGTTGCATGAGGTTGTGTCACATGTTTGTTGAGAGTTTTGTGGCCGAGCCGTGGGATGTTCCGCCTCAGACTGAGATGCAGAAGTTGCAGCTGCAGTCTGTGTCCCACACTGAAGGCTTCGCAGTATCCACAGCTCGGTTTCGGGTTTACGTTTTAGGGTTCATTGTTTAGGGCTTTGGAGGTTTTATTCTAAAGAGACCATTGATCCCTGTCAGGTACACAGTCCGGAGTTGCAACTGGAACGAGAGGCCTGACCCGGTAGGCCTGTGTTCAGGAGCAGAACATAGAGAGCCAGTGACCGAGGAGGCAGTTGCATAGCTTCAACTTACGAAGGGACTTTAAGCATGAGCACAGTTGCCGAAGGTCTGGATTCAAATGGCTTCAAGCTTGGAAGGTTGCGGCTTTCTTCAGCCTATCCGTCTATCCCTGTTGTCTCGCTTGGACCCTCCGTTCATGTGTCCCTCCCTCTCTCCGCCTCTGTGTCAGTATCGCACACCCCAGGCCCAAACCCGAAGACCTGCAACAAAGCCTAGCCTAACCCACCATGTACTATAGGGGCCTTTATAATAAGAACAGGGTTTTGTGGTATACTAAAGTATGTTTTTTGTGAGGAACCCCCAGGAATAATATTGGTAATTATTCTGGCTTCTACAGTATTTGGGCGTGGTAGATCCACGAGATGGTACGCCCATTCCTCCAACGGCCAGGCTTGGGAAAGTATCAGCCGACGATATCTTTGTGCTTGTCCCTGGACAGGAGGACACGATGTAGCGGACATGTATGTGTGTGTGTATGTCTATATATATGTATGTAAATAGTTATAGATATGTATTTATTGATTTATTCGTATATAGTATATGTATGTGCTGTGTGTATGTCTAATTAGCCAATGTACCGGGACAATGCAAATATGTATATGCATATCTTCCGTGTGGGGGCCTGCATTTGGGTCATCCTCATCGCTTCCATGAATGTTTGTCCTCCCAGACGACGTCTGTCAACCGACCTCCCAGAGAGAGAGAGAGAGAGAGAGAGAGAGAGAGAGAGAGAGTGAGAGAGAGAGAGGGAGAGAGGGAGGGAGAGAGGGGGAGAGGGGGAGAGGGAGAGAGAGAGAGAGCGAAGAGAGAGAGAGAGAGAGAGGGAAAGGGTGGGGAATCCCCTTCACCACGGCCCTGGTGGAAGAACAGAGAGAGGAGAGCTCGAGAGAGAGATCGAGAGAGACGGAGAGAGAGAGAGAGAGAGAGAGAGAGAGAGTGAGAGAGGGAGAACAAAATATCTGAATATTTATAAAAATATTGGGTTTAGGGCAAAAAAAACATATATACACAGATTCACATATATGTACTTACATGATATATTGAATTTTATGTGTATATATGTATATATATATATATATGTATATATATATACACACACCATATATATATATATATATGTATATATATGTGTGTGTGTGTGTGTACGTGTGCACCTGTAGACGAATGAGTGTGTGTGGCGCTTATTCGCATTGATGAGGGGTGTGCGGGCAGCATTGCGAATCCGCCCGCTCCGGCAGCCGGGGCTGGCTCAGCATTTTGCTGTTCACATGTCAGATCCGATTTGCTGGGCACTGCAGCATGTGGACATGGCTGGCAATCGGTACAGAGCATTTCACATCGCAAAAACAAAAACGTCACACCAGCCATGTCTGATTCGGCTACATCCTTGGGTGCCTTCAAGAAGTCTGGAGACCCCGCTTCAGTGCTCTCGTTCTGGGGCGAGCTAGACGTCCCCCAGGCCCCGGAATATATTAAGGGAATGTTTCTTTGACTGTGGTTCCCGCGTGTGCTGTTTCGCACATATTCTAGCTTGCAGGCTGGTTTTGTGGTGGCGAAAGATCTTGGAGATGTGGATAGAATGAAGCCGGAAGATCGAAACGAGCTTCTTCAGACGAACAAGGATGTGGTGCTCGCGCATCTTGCAGTCGAATATATGTTCGAGCCTCCCAACAGAATTTAGGGAATCGGTACGAAGCCGCTGCCTATAATATGTCATACGCAGCCCAGGACACTGCATGCCTTTTCACGCTTGGAGAAAGTGCTGACGCTCGATCAGCTTCAGCATTGCATCCAGCTGAAGTATGGGAAGGACTGCGACCCCCGCTTGGCGCACAGCCAAGCAGGCTCCCTGAAATCCCTCGCTGCTTGCTGTATATATTGAAGTTAGGAGCTGCATGCTGTATACGTGCTGCAGACAGATTGCTTGCATATGTGCAGTACTATTTAAGGCGCAGCACGTTATCAGGGAGAGCAAAAAGACGAAGGACGCCAGGGCTGTCTGGCTGAAGGAACTCAAGGCCGGCACTATATGCATAAACTTCAGAGTGAAGTTCAAGTCTTCGGATTTCGGGCCTGTGGTTTCCAATGCGCTTCTTTCTTGCAGGATGCAGTCACTGGGAAGCTACTTGAGAAAAAGTTCCAGCGATCGAAGAATACATCCAGCGAATCCTCTACTCCAACGAGGGTGGAAACGGCTCAAGGAGCTCAGTAGTCTTGGATATTACAAGTTAGTACCATTGCTACCATGCACATATGTGTTCCCATCCAACACATGCCATGCATAGTGTGCTTGTGCAACTTGTGCATCTACTCGCACAAATATCGCACTACTACCTTAATATACGTATACCATACCATATTTGCAACTGTACCTATACCTTCGTACCTACCTGCTATACCTACCTACATACCTACCTATACCCACCTACTTACCTAGCTAGCTAGCTAGCTAGCTAGCTAGCTAGCTAAAGCTAGAAAGCTAGGTAGCTAGCTAATAGCTACCTACCACCTACTAGCTATATACCCACCGCTATAGGTGCCGACCTACCCCTGCCTTAAGTTCTATGCCTATACCTACATGTAAATATATTATCTATACCAACATATACACATACATATATATATATATACATATGTGTCCCAATCTGAAGTCAGGACTCCCTGAGATAGCTCCACCTTCCACGGAAGTCTTGGAAGTGGTTGTCGGCAAGCTGTTGGCAAACCCGCCAAAGATGGACCCCACAGACCAGTACAAGAAAAAATTCAGGCTACGTATCAAGCAGAAAGCAGAGTCAGGATTGCCCGGGATGGACCAAACATGTTTGCTGTTACATATGTAGTCAATATATTCAAATTAGTCACTGCACCACCCGGCTCTCCCAGGAGCTTCCGATGCTGCGCCGCCACAAGATCGCCCTTCACTAATGATGTGGCCGACCGAGGAAGCCGCAACGGCGCCGATGGAGGATAGCCGCTATATAACCTTTGCTTTCAGTGAATGCCCTGTCAAGCTGTACATTCTGTGCCGGGTAGAGGATGTGCATTACTTTTCAAATCACCGTGGGTACATATCATGCTGTCGTTCATATGTGTCGGAAGGAGTATCACGGCCTCTGTGCAGTCGGGGCGGACGGCCTGGTTTCTGCGATCCCGGGGAGTGGCTCTGCGGTTTAGGGTTTACGGGTTTAGGGTTTAGGGCTTAGGGCTTAGGGCTTAGGGTCACGTACTGTAGTAATGCTGGGACCCTGGATTTTCCTATCTAAACGATTGCTATAATATTGGAAATAACAACCATCATAAACACAATAATACTATAGAATTAAAAGTTGATTACAATAATAGAAAAACAAGAGTACTCTATATACATATGTATATATATATATATATATAATATCAAGGGTTGGGGCATACCTATGGGGAGGAACAATCTTCTTTGTGCTACTTGTGTTGTGATTCTTCATCGTCGACAAAACCTCAGGGCGCTAGCCAGGAACCTCAGGTTTTATTTCGGGTTTCAACTCTCACCCAAGAAGCGACGACGACTGGTGTGATGGATGGGTCTGCGCCGGCCCGTGACTTTGGTGTTGATGTTCTCTAAATATACAGCCCTGCCCCTGCAGTTCTTTTGTTAGAAGCGTGTGTGGTATAGCGCCACATATCTTATGACAGGCAGCCAGGTCGTGGAGATAGTTCCTATAGGATGAAATAGTTTTAGGTTGTTAAAGCGATTCTATTAAATTCTTTATCCCAATAATATGCTGATGCTTCCTTATGTTGTGGGCCTCATATCCCGGCTGTCCTGGTTTCTTTTCACCGACAATTTGTAATTAGATCGAGCTATGCGAGCTGCACGACTGACTGAAGTGCAATGGGGGACCAGAATATTAGTGTGCTGCCTGACTAGTGCAGGTCTAGTCTACGTATGTGTGTTGCCTGCCCTGTCGATCTGGACACTACTGTTTCGCGGTTGTTAGGGCGCCGTTACAGGATTAGGTTGCTGTGGTCTTTCACCGCTTGAAACCACCTGCGGCTGCGGCATGGCTCCTGGTCCTTGGCCACTCGTGAAGCCTCTGCTGGCCCGTGGTCTGAGCTCGCCTGAGCTGTATCGTTCTCATGCCAGTATTCAGTTTGTGTTGGCAGGAATCGGGGGTCCGTTGTATGCTGAGGCCTCGGGCCCTGATTGTCGTCTTGCTGCTGATGAACTATATGGGCTTAGTTTACAAGCATGACGATAAGCTCGATGTTGTGGAGCTTTTTGCGGGCTCTGCTGTGTTTCGGATGCATGCGGGCTGACGGGATGATTGGGTCACAGAAAAATTAATCATGGATCCGAGGCTATTCATGGAGAAGCGGTTCTCAGAGGCCTCGCTGCTCGAAAGGTCGATCTGGAGTACTCAGATAGCAACGACATGGCTAAACCATGGGGTTTTTTGTAGCTTGCCTGAATATCGTATAGTCTCGATGCTGAAGGCTTTCCAACTTAAAGTTCGCCTAAGTACTTAACAGTGTGCTGCCCAGGCTGGCACTGGCATATGTTCGACGACTACGGCGGCATGGCCTTCTGGTGCTCGCTCCGGTCTGCTTCTCTGCAGAATCATCCACACGTAGCCTGAGATAGCCCGTAAACCGTTTCGGGGATTGTGGCGGTTTCTCACAGTCTACTTGAGGAGCTTCGGGGCCCAGGCTTAAGTTCCTATAGCTTGAGGGTTTTGTTGTTTTTGGACGCACGGTTTTGCAAAGCTCTGAGTCTTTGGGCTTGGGGGTTAGGGTGCTTCGGTTTTGGGGAATAGTGCTTCATCACGTTTGGATGGAGTTGAAGCTTTGGCTCCAGGGGCTATGCAGACTGGGTTTGGGTTGCTGCATCGATCTAGGAATAGTCTGAAATCTTCTCAAGAAGTCACACCCAAACCGCTAGCCCCATTTCACCTTTTAAAGGATTCGAAACGGCAGTGGCTTGTCGGGGCCTTGGTTTGTAGTCTCCTCCTCTAGGGCTTGGGCCAAGCCTATAAACCCTTGTCAAATCTGTATTAGGACCACCCACCTCTGTGTCAGGGATATATACAGGGTTCAGGGCTGGTTTCGGGTGTGGGGCTTCAGCTGTTTTTTTAGAATGATTTTGCGAGGTGAAGGTGTGCGGCTTAGGGCTTGTGGGGTTTGTGGTTCGGGTATTTAAGGGTTGAGGTTGGGGGTTTAGGGGGTCTAGGGCTTAGATTGGATGGTACTGTTGTTGCCGGCTGTGTCTCTAGGACAATTCTTGTCTGCCTTATGTAACGTAGGGGCCTCAAGAATTAGAATAGGATTATACTCTATTTATACTAAGGAACCCCCAAAACCCTAAACCCCCTGGAGTCTTGGATTTCAGGATGGATGCCAATTGGCTCGTACATATGATCTGAACGATCTTATATATGGTTTGCCGGTAATATAAGAGTAATAGAACCC